TATTGTTAGGAAGTTATTTAACTGTTGAAGCTTTTTCAGTAACTTTGCTGATGAATGGGAGGTCAGAGGTCAAAGGTTGGCCTGTAGTTATGCAGTAGTGGTTTTATCAGTGGTTTGATAGCTGCTGTTTCCAAAGGGAAAACACATGAAGAGAGCGATGAGTTACTATTTGGATCAGATCATTAATGACAGGCAGGACTTTCTTAAAGAAATGTGAGGGTCGGAACTGGAGCTTCACTGACTTATCATTTCTTCTAGAGTTTTATAATTAAGTAGTTGAAATTGGGTCATTTTTCCTGTATTTGTTTTGGTCTCCGCACAGCATAGACACAGCATAGCATAGCACAGTATCTATGCTGTGCCCACACAAAACAAATTTTTGTAATTTTCTCTGAAAAGAAGTTGAAAACTTGTTGCAGGCATTAGATTAGAGTTCATGTGGTAACGTCATAGGAGGGTTTGTGAGCCTGTCAACAGTAGCAAATAAAGCTCGAGCGTTGTTAATGTTTTTGTTTATGACATCTGCAAAGAAAGCCTCTCTTGCATGTTTTAGTGTTGAGTGATAGTTACGTCGTCTTTCTTTATAGATTTCATAACGTGCAGTTGAGTTTTACGCCATCTCTGTTCGGCTCTACGGCAGAGTTGTCTTGCAGATTGAACTGCTTGTGCATTTCTTTATGGAGATTTCTTCCTACCAGACACAACCTTCACTTTAAACAATCATAATCAATGCATATGAGAGATAGAAGCTCATTCAAGTCAGTAAAGAAATTTTCCTCGTATGTTGGAGTTTTGTATAAACTTAGTATCAAAGTTCGTTTGTGGCCTTTAACCTCAATACCGAGATACTCAAAAGACGTGAAATGACCCAAAGAGATTTTACTTCAATTTATGGTATTCTTAAATACTGAAGCCACGCTTCCTCCTTTTTATGTTTTCTATTCTCACTTAAAAAAATTGTAGTTAGAAGGCACTGATTCACTTAGTACGGTTGGTTCTTTATTGTCATTCAACCATATTTCTATCAGAAAAATGACATCAATTTTATGCTGCATCACAGCAGCGGACCCAGTGGACCGGAACCAGGACCAGGTGAGCTGATCGGACCCAGTGTTGGACCAGCACATGTTGGACCTCCAGCAGCCTGGGACCAGGTCTTGTAAGAAAATCTGTTCCCTCCGTTTCGGCAGCGCGCATTTGTGAGGCTTAAGTGGCAAAAGCTGGAAATAGACCGATTCTCTTTGCGATTAAAAAACAAAACGATGTAAGAAGACTTTGTTTATTCATTTATTTTATAATTTTGTTAGCTGCCAATTAAACTGAAGGTTACAACCTTGACATGATTATATGAGTTGTTTTACCGAGAAATCGATCAAATTAAATGAACGGATCCTCTCTGGCTGCAGTTCACGCTCCCGACACAGGGGGGCACAATTTCACAAAAGACCTAGAGTTGGTTCTTATGTCTTTGTTCCCAATGTAAGCCATCAACACTTCAACTTTTATATGATTCCCTATTTTATTAATAAACACCATTTATTAAAAGAAAGCGGCAGACTGAACGTGTTTCCATCTTCATCTCTACTTGGGAACCAAACGGCCACCGGATCTTGTTCTGCCGGAAGGTATTTAGAGACCCACATAATACCGCCGTTTCCTTGACAACGAGGTTTCTTTGTTGATCACCAAACGGCTCGCACAAACAGGTTTGTTCAGGAAGTAAGTAAACTAAAGTCTTATAAAGAATTAATTAATCGGAACCGGAACATTAGTGCCATGTTTAGACTGAGCTTTATCGGTGTAATCGGATCTCTTAACGTGAACTGGTAACTGAACTGTTCTCTGTTGCCGCCCAGCTGAGACTGGACCGGTTCGTATGGAGGAGGAACTCTTCGCTGCGTCATGGTGGGTCAGCTGATTTCCCGAACAGAACCAGCGGAGTTCGGTCTGTAAATAAAACCAGTCGCTTTGTTCGCTTCGGTCCAAATGGTTCCGATTCATTCAGAGCCTAAATGAGACGCTAGAACTGATTCATATGTGTTTATTTAATGATTCCTCTTCATCCATCCATCATTCATAGATTATAACATTTTCAGTCTACTAAAACTGAACATGGTCCATATATGGTCGCTGTTGACACCAGAACCCACCAGAATCATGGTTCCGGTCAGACTGGTGACGATGTGTAGTGACATCACTTCCTGTCTGTGAACCTGGATTTCTGTCCTCCATGCAGCTCCTCAGCAGCAGAGGCGGCTTTCGACACGTTGATTGGCTGCATCCTGGAGATCATCATGGGTAACTCGGAGTTCAATGTGCAGATGCAACCAGTGTACCCAGCGATCCCAGTTAGAGCCACTGGTTTTTGTTTTTGTTTGCAGAAGATGACTTCCAGCTGGTCCAGCGCACCTTCTTGGACCGGCACTACCTGGAGTTTGAGGAGTCTGATGAGAACAAGCTGAGCTACACTCTGATCTTCAACGAATACGTGAGTGGCAGCATCGTGCCTCTGATTGGCCGGCACTGGCAGCATCGTGCCTCTGATTGGCCGTTGCTCTGCAGGTGGAGCTGCTGGAGAAACCTCTGGAGGAATATCTGATGAAGAAGATCCCCGGTTTCAACATGGCCAGCTTCACACAGCTGCTGATGTGAGCTACGGAAGCTCAGAACTGCCAAACCGTCAGAGCTAACATGGAGCCTCTTCATGTTTCCATTCATATTTACAGATGTTTGATTCTAACCTGCTGCTGTGTTTATGGTGATTTCTGGTTTAGACATGAAAAGATGCCGTCCAGCAGCTCAGAAACTCAAACTGTGCTTCTGTTTCCTGGCCACCAGGTGGCAGACTGAAGCTTTCTCCTGTCATCTGCAGGGAACACAAAGAAGAAGTCCCAGACGACATCTTTGACATGCTGCTCACCTTCACCGACTTCATGGCCTTCAAGGAAATGTTTGTCGAGTACCGAGCGGTGAGTGGAGCGGCGCCGATCCGAGCAGATCAAGGATGAGGCAGACGGAACGGCGCTGACCTCTCATTGTGCTTCCTGTGTTTTCAGGCTAAAGAGGGTCGAGGTTTGGACCTGAGTCAGGATCTGCTGGTGACTCCCCTGAACCCGGCAGGTTCTGCTGGACACCAGTAGACCCACCAGAACCTCCAGAACCTTCTTGGCCCTCATATTGGAGCTGCTGCTTTGAGTCTGACAGAAACTCTGACCTGATTCAAGACTAAGAACTTACTGAGTAATGGATGAATGAATGAATGGGTGAATGGTGTTTGATATAAGTTCTTGTTCTGAATTTATTGAAACTGAATAATTTTCCTTCACTGAAGGTCGTCATAGTGATTTTAATGTTTGTGAATAAATTGTCTTTGTCAGATTTCTGATGAAAATGTTAAAATTAATTTTTAAATGAAATTGACTGAAACTTAAAGTCCTTTATTGTCAATATGTTTCATAAAATGAACGTTAAAAATCTGATTACAGTGAAAACATAAATGAAAACATGAACGTCTGGATCAGATCGTTCTGTGTAAACAAACATTTTCATTTAAAATGAAGGAAAACAAACCAAACACTTTGATCTAAACACAAATAATTTAAACTTTTATCATCAAGCTTCCGACTTTCTTTCCTTTAACTGGTTTTATTCACAGATTTCAATTTCATTTCAAAATCTTCAATAATTCATGTGCAGCAACCGTCAGCATGAAGGTTCACTGGATTCTCAACAAATCAGTCGTTGGCGGCTGAGCCTGAGGTCGTCCTTCCACAGAGTTTCCACTCCGGGTCACGAACAGAGTGGCTGAAATTTGCTGTGATCATCTTTAAGGTGTGGTTAATTATTAAAACATAATTCAGATTTCAGATTTAAAAAAATCTTAATTTCTGGGAATTAAAAGTTTTTTATGATTCATATTTAAACATTTTGATCCTGGAGGAGAAATTCACCGTTTACTCCAGAACCTCCAGGATCCAGACTGAAATGGAGCTGAACTGGTTCCAGGTCAAAGATCAGTCGTTGCCCGTAAACAGAGATCCAGATGTTCAGGCAGAACCGGTCCAGACGGTAAACAGTGGCGCGAACCTTCACTCAGCGTTTAGCTTCAGGATTATCAGAACGCTGAGAATAAAACCCAAATGGATCGAAAGGTTTGAGAAATGATTAGCGAGCTGGAGCTGAGAGAAAACCTGAATCGGACCAGATCTGAACCAGTTGGTGGTTCAGTTCTGACCTGGTGCGATCAGATCTTCATCGGGTTGAGGAAGACCTCCAGCGTTTCCTTTTCTATCAAAGCAAGACGACGAATATGGAGAATTAGATGATTACTGAGTCCATGTGAAGGCCTGGTTCTGGTGGTTCTACTGGCTCTGGTGGTCTTGGTTCTGGTGGTCCTAGGTGGGCACGGTGCTGGTGGCGGCATTCCCTCCATCGGCCCTCCAGTCCAGGTAGGACAGGTAAGCTCCGGCGCCGTACAGCAGCGTCAGCGCTGCTCCGAAGAACTGCAGAGAGAGGAGAAACATCTGCAGACGGTCGCAGTCGGAGCTGCGGCGCTGCAGCTGACCTGCTAGCTGCACAGAAGGAATCCTGACGGATCCCCACTTGGAGAAACAACTAATCAACAGCTGGTTGGTTCTCCAGTCCCTGTTGGTGCAAGCCACCATGCTGTTGACCTCTGACCTCAACCTGTTGGCTGCTGTCTCTCGCTCACCTGACCATCATCTGAGAAGAAGCTGTTTTAAGGGGGAGTTCAGTGAAATCTTGTTAATTATTCTCCTCATGAATCATTTTCTGTTCAGATCCCTGGTTTCCTGCTGCAGAGGGTCAAAGGTTAACGTTTTCACACCTTTAATCTGAAACTAGTGATGTATTGTCGCTAATCGGTCGACGCAGTAAAAGCTGATCAGGTGATCTGAGGGTGTGACGGCGTCATGCGGCTGTAAAACTCCTGATCTGTACTTTTCCATGTCAGACTTTAAATCCTGAGAGGATCCGGAAGGTTTGGATCCGGTCCAGATCTGCTGGATCTGGTCCAGAGAGGTTCAGAACCAAAGCCTGGACCTGGTTGGTGGGTCATCTCTGCTCCACGCTTTGGGTTTTGGTCTAAGTGGGGAACTTTCTCCAATCCACATCCGAAGATCCCGTCAGTTCCAAGCAGTGTTCCCATGGTAACGCAGATAAATCTCGCAGTGATGATGAGGAGCGAGCTGGAGGCCGAGCTGCCAGCTTCTACAGGAGGAAGATTTATTTTACAGACACAGCAATAATTTGAGTTCTGGAGCCTTTAGAGTAAAACTCATCGGTTCGTTCTCGCTCGCCTTCTTCATCCAGGCTAACCCAGCGTGGAGGAAGTAGGATGGCCATCACCATGGAAACGGACTCCTGCAGACCTTCAGGTGTCTTTCTTCTGGTTTGATGGACAGATGAGACACAGCGACAAGATGGCTGCCTGGAGGAGTGAGGCTCTCTGGCATTGTGGCGGCAGCATCATGCTGTGGGGCTTGTAGCTTTCAGTGGAATAATGGAGAACTTACAGCAGCAGCGCCGATTTGTCCGTGGAAGGACCCTTGGAACTGCCGGACCGTGGCGGCGTTGGTCAGGAAGGCAGTGAGGTAGAGCAGGGCAGCCACTCCGTTATACATCATCACCTGCAAACGACACCAGAACCGGGTCAGGTTCTGCTAAACCATTTCACCTTCTGTACCTCAAGCTTTTTACCTGACGGTACCAGTACCGGTACCACCGGACCTCAGCAAGGCCCAGAAATGAGCCACTCCACCTACCGTCATGGTCCAAGGAACGGCGGACAGCCTCTGGGGGACGCTGAAGAGCAGGACAAGGAAGAGGAGGGCGGTGAGGATCCACAGAGCGACGGCCACAAACATCACCCAGCCGTAGGCGGAGACCCGCCAGTAGGAGGCGCCAGCGATCAGAGCCCAGTGCAGCAGGCCCAACACCTGCAGCACAGAGGAAGAAAGGCTGCAGGAGAAGGCCAGGGGACCAGAACCAGAACCATCAGAACCATGATGAATTAGTGAAATCATTTTAATTTTTAGTCTGGTGATGATTTCTCTGTGAATCTGCTGCAGATCTTCCTCTGTTCTCAGAAACATTCAGAGCTGAAGTGATGCAGAGAACAGCAACCAGCAGGAAAGCTCAGGTTTTACTCATGCTAACAAAGTGATGATAGCAGAGTGATGTTAACAGATCAATGCTAACAAATTGATGTTAACAATGCAGAACTGGGTCACTGCATAGTCAGTAGGAGATGCTGCTGCAGAACCACAGAAACCTCCCAGTGTTACCAGTCGTTTCAGAACTGGACTGGAAACCATCACTATGACCCTAAACACCAGAACCCGATTGTATAATCGGTACTTTACTCTGACGTTTCAAACTGAATGGGAATGATTTCCTGTTCAGGTCTCGAAGTAAACCAGTTTCTCTTGACTTTCCCATTTTGTAGAAAATCAGATCTACGCCTTTGTGTTGATATTTGCTGCTGCACACTTTGTTTTTTCTGCCATTCAGCTGCCAGGTGCCATCATGGTCCTGGAGCTAAAGTAGCTAAAAATATTAAAATAATAAAAGTTCTCTGTGTTTCTCTGCTTCTTTCAGGTGAAACGTCGTCTGTTTAGATGGATTTACTCTGGTTCAGAGACTGATGGTGGTTCGGTCTGTAGGAACCGGGTCAGAGCAGTTCTTACCATTTCAGCCGCCATCAGTGCCGCCGGGACACTGCGCAGGAACGACACGTCCATCCTGGAGGTGGCGCTGGAAGCCAGCCCCCGCAGCCTGCCGGCCCCCTGTTGGGGCTGTGGGGAGCTGGTCTCCGTGGTTACCTTGGAGGGGAAGTCCGCCATGTTATTTTTTTCTGGAGATTCACCTCAGAAAAACAGCAGCACTCCGCACCGTTCAGATCAGGAGCTGCAGAATTTGATCTGTTTAAAACCAGAGAACAAGAAGCAGCGCAGCGTCCTCCTGCTGCTACTGGGGACTAATGGAGGCAAGAACACACTTCCTCCTCTTACACACACACACCAAGTGTTTCGTCACTTCCCTCCTATCTGCTTCTCTCTCCCAGCGCCGCCTCCCATATGGCTCCCAGGGGCCGCTCACCTGGTAACTCATTAATATCAGGACAATAACACACACACACACACACACACTCTAAGACTGACTCAACAGCGCCCTCTGGTGTCTGATGATGATGTTTGAATACTGATCTTCTATATCAGCTCTTCACGCGGCTCACATAGTTACCAGGAGTCACATGACTTCTTTCTGTTCCCTGACAGGAGGAACTGATGGCGTTATTATAGAAAAAGCTGAGTTTTATTTTTCTCAGCTGAATATTCTCTTTATTATGTTTTTAAACTTCAGGACATAATCAATAAAACCACCAAAATAATTCAGACGACCCAGGAACCACTGAGGTGCAAACTTCATTTTGGATTGAAACTAAATCATGTTTTCAATTTGAACTGATTCAGCCTCAAAGTTTCCCAGAATGCATCTGGAGCAGAATGAAATAAAGAGGGAAGATGGGTGAAATGAGCACACGTTTATTTATTATTTATGAGGATGAAGTCACACAGGAAAACAGCTTCAGGAACATCTGCAGCATTTAACATCCAAACTTTCTGTCTGACACATATTCACTTTAAATTCTTCTGATTTCAGACGTTAAAGGAGAAAAAACAGCAGATTGAACCGCAAGAAATAAATACCATCACAAGAACAGGAAGCAGAATTATTCTACACTTCCTGTCTGAGACACCAGTAACATTTCCACACCTGCTAAAATATCGGACCCAGAAAATGGTTTGACTTAAATAAATAGGATTTATCCGCCGGTAACGTCAGGTTGTTGCCATTCAGTCGACAAGAGAAGAAAAGATCAAACCGTGAAGATCAGGACAGGGGACAGGTGGACGGGGGACAGGTGGACGGGGGACAGGTGAGTCCTCAGGTGTAAAACTTGCTGCTGTTTATCTTCTTCTCCTTTGACCTGAAGACGAATCAGAGTTAAAGCTGCAGAGTGAATAAGTGAATCTGACCTGATATTAATAAAAACTTTGATCATTTTATTTTTTATCTACTAAAGGGTTAAAGAGGAAATAAAGTCTAAATGTTTTATATTGCTGCTTTAAACTTCAAGAGGGAAAATCACAAGGACATGAAATCTTTAAAAGGATCCAGGACTAGTTGAATATGTTGTCAAAATATGTTGAAATTTTCCAATTAATAAAAAAATTGCTGTTTGTGATTCGCCAAAACTCATAATTACTTAAAAAAATGTACGTCTTTTGATACATTTTTCAACCAGGGAGGTCGCCATTTTTTCACCGCTGGGTTGATGACGTCATCAGGTCCAATCTGTACTGGAGTCTACAGAGTAAACACAGGAAGGCTAACTTTGCCCCAGTAGTTTATCATATTGCGTTTGACTGGTGGCATTTAGATAATGCCACACTGTAGCACTATTTGCTGTAATTTAAAAAATAAAAATTGAAACAGAATCTGGATAATTTCCCACATGAAAGAAAGGAGAGCGCAGTGCGAGAAGGAGAGAAACACAATGAAGGACCTAATCTGGACCCTGGACATTTCTCCACAACACTTTGAGCCATTTACTTTTGTTACGCTTAAATTCCGGAACAAAAGTATGTTTTTATTCTTTTTTTTTAATATTTTTTTTTGTTTTGTTTTTCCAATATCTCTCTCTTTCTTACTGTTTATTCAATGTCACATGCTGTTTTTATTTTGTTTTTTAATTATGTAAAGCACCTTGAAATGCCTTGCTGCTGAAATGTGCTATACAAATAAAATTTGATTGATTGATTGATTGATTTATACCAGCAGAACCAACAAAGCTAACAGATGATCTATGACAGATCTCAGATCTTCTCTGCTTTTCTCTTTATTCCTGTCAGAGAAACGAGCTGCTAGCAGCGATGCTAATTCATTCCGGTACAAAACTTAACGATCTTGTTCCTGTCGCTCCCCTGATTAAACTGTCAATTACGATCCTCTGCACTGAGCAGCTCTCTGACAGCAGACGGTGTGTCCGTGAACTTGTTTGACTAAAAATTGTATCATAACCAAAAAGAGAGATGTAACTTCTATCATGAATATAGACTAGCAAAAAAAACCCTACAAATTACAATGAAATTCTCAGCCATGGTATACAATTAGCAGATATAACCATACAAGATGTTAAATTTGGTATTTTCATCAATGATCACTTCATTCACTATGGAATAAATAATGTTTTATTGTTAGCTAAATTTCATATACACAAATGTCGCTTTTCTAAAACCATTCCTAACTTTAGACAGTGGATGAATGATTTAAACTTGTTTTATAAATCTTATAAAGCAAAAAATGAGTTTAAATTGTGCAATTTTTTGAAAAGTTTCTTGCTTTAATATACTGCCCTGTTGTATGTTTTATTTTTCATTTTGCTATGCATCATTTATTTCTTTTTTTTCTCTTTCCCAGTTGTTGTTCGGCTCTGTTGACTCTGTTTATTCTGTGATCTTATAATGTAGACATTACGGTGCCTTTATGGAGCTGATTGTATATGTTCATATAATAATAAAAATAAATAAATAAATTACAATGAAATAATGTTACTTCCGCTAGCCGCCGGAAGTGACACCCATAATCGTTTTCCCAGTGAGCCTCCCAGGAATAAGGTCAACAACATGGTTCACCTTTCGCGGTCTCGCTGCTTCGCGGATATTTTTTGTGCAGTTTTTTTATGTGCTCTGCGTTCTGATTGGCTAAAAGATACGTAATACAGATTGGCCATTCAGGAGATGGAAGCTGAAACTTTGAATGCCTGCTGAAAAAAGCTGTGGCCGGAGGCTCAGCAGCAGATCCAGCTGTGAAGCTCCGGATCACATTAATGCCGTGATTGACGCACACGGACATCCACTGACCTGAAAACAGGTTTTGTTCTTTGGTTTCAATGTAGAGTATTTAATTATGCTGTGTAATAGTTGTAAAAAAAAAAAAAACTAAATGTAACTACTTCGCTGATTTTACTTATCGCGGGTTATTTTCGGAATGCAACCCCTAAGAAAAACGAGGGATCGCTGTACTTCCAAGTTTCATTGAGTTAACAGAAGTATTGTGCTGTGGCAGCGCGGCCATGGATAACATGTAAAAGTCTCTTTGCCCTTCAGTGTTGTCTGCATGCGAGAAATTTCCGCATGTAAACAATAACATGCAAGGGCCAGCATGCCTAGGTGGGCCCCATGTGGGGAAAAGGAGGGCAGCCCATATGGGTCCCATATGGGTTTGTCCACATGGGCCCTACATGGTGGTGGCCCACATGGGTTTTGTCCATTTAGGGCCCATGTGGGCTGTGGCCCTACATGGGCAAACCCATGTGGGGCCATCGTGGAACCCGCGGACAAACCCATATGGGACCCATATATCAGCCCTCCTTTTCCCCACATGGGGCCCACATAGGCATGCTGGTTGGTCTTATGATTTTGATGAAGTCAGAGCCTCACCAGCCATGAACTTCACCACACGTCACTAGCTAACGGAGCTAGAACACCGGCACTGAATGTGAAACTAGGCCTGTCACGATAACGAATTTTGCTGAGCTATTAATTGTCTCAAAAATTATTGCGATAAACGATAATATTGTTTGAAGACCTTTTTACACAGATCTAATGGAAATGATGTAATAATACATGTGATTTCCTGCCAAAGATAGATGCACTTTATTTTTAAAAGAACACCAAACACTTAAACAAAACAACCAAAAACAAAAATAAAATGGATTCTCAGTCTCCATTAATAAAAAATGTACTTGAATTAATACTAAACAACATAAAGCCAAAGTGGAAATAAAGTTGGACTCCAAACGGCTGAACCCGATCGAACCCGATTGAACCGTTATACCTAGGGTTTCTGTCGGCTGGTTTGTGGTCTCTCAGGTTTTGGAAATGGGCCGACAATCAGTCGACAGTTCTAAGATGGTGTAGTGTGTGCTGGGCATTACACTGAGGAAATGAGGAAGGGAGGGTGAGTGGAGAGCACCGGAGTTGAGCCTTTTTTATTCAGAGTCATCAACAGAAAGAGAAAAAAGCAGGAAGAGACGATAAAGCCGATAATTAAAATGAAGTCGATAGCTTTAATTTATTGTGCGATTAACTGATTTATCGTTTATCACGACAGGCCTATGTGAAACCACTACCAACAACGAACAAAGTTTGGAGCCTAAACCACTGTTGCCAAACCGGACTCAGAGCTACAGAAGTTCTTACCGGATCACACAGTGACCAGAGGTGAGTCTCACTCATTGTTTCATTATGAACCAGCAGCAGCTCCTACGGCCAACTCTTCCTCTGTTTGCTCCTCCTCTTCATCAGCTCTTGTTATTTCTACGTTCTGATCGGTTTCAATGCGCTCTGGTCCAAATTAAAAAGGCTTAATAACGTTACTCATCACTGTTTTGGCTGGAGGAGCCAGGCAGTTGGACCGCTATACGTCATTTACCCAGAATACATTTCAGCATGAACATAGCGGCATTAATGTGACAATATTTCATTAAAATTTATAAAAACTAAATAACCTACAGTATTATTACATATAAAATAAACCAAATAAAGTCGATTGTTGCAACTAATCGTGGATCCCTTGAGACGTTTCTTAGTATCTCTTGCGCTACACGCCCTCTAGTGGCAGCACCTGGTATAACAAGAACAAAAATGGCCTGATTTATGGCTCTTTTTCCAAAATATGATCATGATTCATTTTTCTGTCTGCAGGGTCAGTTTAAAGGAAAAGTGATGATGTCAATTCTGCCGTCTGCAGCTGACCAATCAGAGCAAAGCATGATAAAGGAGAGGGAGGGACT